CCGAGGATGTGCCCGAATCCCTCAAACCAAGGCTCTGATACCAACTTGAAACATCCAAAAGTATGGTCCCAAAAATTTTTAATTTAATATTAGATAAAATAGTAGTTTTCCATATCATCCAAACATTATTGAAATAAACCAGTGTATCAATTGTCATAAATCAGAGTACAACATCATAACAAAATCTCAATGGTGTGTGCGATGCAGTTATCCCGAGTTCTTCCCCTTGGAACCGGAGGAAACCTGAAACATAAACTAAAAACCGTAAGCACAAAGCTTAGCGAGTTCCCCCAAAATACCACATACCATACATATCATGCAATGTTGAGATACGGGCCCCACCCACACTCCAATAATATTGAGATACGGGCCCCGCCCACACTCAGAAACGAGCCCCACCTAGTGAGATACGGGCCCCGCCCACACTCAGATCAAAATGAGATACGTGCCCCGCCCACACTCATGTAACGAGCCCCGCCCAATAGACATACACATACAAGCACATACATGCATCACACAGATAACAAGTATAACCACATAACCATACTAGGGCCGGCCTTGGTGCCTTAGACCCACAGAAACTGGTGAGGAAAACTCACCTCGAATGCTTATTTGATAACTGGATAAATCCTCGGCCCAGAAACAACTCTACTCAACCCCTAAACAGAAACAATCCCTTAGATACCGATCAATATTTCAAAATCCCTAAAAGGTCAAACTTGGCCAAAGTCAAAGGCAAAGTACACGCTCCGAGTCGACTCAACTCGTCGAGTTATCCAACAACTCGACGAGTTTCCATTAAGCACATAATCATGATAGTTCGATCCAACTCGCCGAGTTTCCCTATAACTCGTCGAGTTCTTCCTTTTTCAACAGAATCGGGACAAGCCCAACTCAACTCGCCGAGTTCCCTTAAGGACTCGTCGAGTTCTTCGGCCAGCCAACCCACTTTATGCATTAAGCCATTATTCTTCAAACCAAAGCCCTATTATCTAGATCTAGACCGATAATACGTCTAGAAGGGTAAAGTTTCCAACTTTACCTATTAAGAACCACCCCAAAGGCATTAAGCTCAAACCCTAATCCAAAAAGGCTTATGTCTTAATCCAAAAACCGCCATATCTTCAAGATAGAGCTTATGAACACATATATGGACCTTAAAGGCTAAAAGGTCACGTAAAGTCTTCAACTTTACTCACATGCATGGCCAAATGAAGCTTAAGAGCCCAAAACAAAGACTTAGAAGGTGCATGGAGCTCTTAAGGCCATAAAGTTGGCACCTTTATGCCATGAAAGCACCTTAAGACCCTGGATCTGAAAGGGTTTGTCCATATGGGACGTCCAAATCCCAATGACCATTTCTTTTGGACAAAAACAAGCAAAAGAACACTAAGATGAAGATCTAAGTAACCACGAGGCAAGGTTGAGACTTTTTACCGGAAAGATTCCGAGAATGAAGGAAGGATTATGGATCTAGCAGCTCCTTCTTGTATCTCCAAGCTCCCCTTTCTTCCAATGGATTCAAACACACACAACACACTCAAAAATGGCTCACAGACACTCAAAGATGCCTTAGGGTTTCGAGGTTAGGGTTTAGGACAATGGAGGCTGGAAATGAGGCCAACTTGTAGGGATTAAGTTGTTTAAATAGGGTGCAAAACCCTAAAATTAGGGTTTCATTTCTTCCAGACAACTCGTCGAGTTGAGGCCTCCCAACTAGTCGAGTTGGTCACTTAAAACATGCAGTCCATAACATTTCTACACGACGAGTTGGGGCTACCAACTCGTCGAGTTGCTCTACAAAATTGAGTAATTTAGAAGTTTAAATACATACCAGGAACCAGGCGTTATATTCTGATATCCAAGTGCCATGGGCTACCCCCATGGTCTTTACACAAGTGTCACGGGCTACCCCCGAGGTCTTCATACAATTAATGCATAACACTACCAATCAACATATCAGATAATGGGTCGGCATTGGTGCCTTCGACCCATTGATATAATGAGAAGACTCACCTCAAACTGCTGATAAAAATACTTCTCGGCAACCTGTCCGAAAATCTCACACTAAATATACACAAGTTAACCTAATTAGGATTAAGTAAAAACCTCAAGGTATAGTCCAAAACCCTAAGTCCAAACTCCTCCAATAAGGCCCAAAAGTCTTTCTTCATTAAATCGGCCTACCATCCAAGGTCCAAGAACAATAATGGGCCACAAAGTCAAATAGGCTCAACTATGCCACCTATGGTCCAATAACAAATTCGAAGGCCCAAATACTCTAATAGATCCAGACCCAAGGCTAAGTAGGGCCCAAATGGCTCAAAAACCCAAAACCCATTGGAAGCGTACGCCTAACGTACAACATCACAAAGCCAAATAGGCTCAACTATGCCACCTATGGTCCAATAACAAATTCGAAGGCCCAAATACTCTAATAGATCCAGACCCAAGGTTAAGTAGGGCCCAAATGGCTCAAAAGACCAAAACCCATTGGAAGCGTACGCCTAACGTACAACATCAGTACGCTTGGCGTATTGGGTTCCTTGGTGGTACGCGCAACGTACAAACGAGTACGCCCAACGTACAAGCTGTTTTGCACAAATAGCCATTAAGTGCTTAATTCATGAAGCCACTTCGTCCAATTCCAAATCTTGGTCATTTTGAAGGTCCTAGGGCATAAAGTTGGCAACTTTATGCCTTTGCATGCCATATGGGAACCCAACACCTTATTTTATCCATTAAGACTCCCTTTAAGATCTTAAACTCATGCATGGTGCCATAACAACCATAAAGTTAGCATTTTTATGCTTTTAACATGCCAAAGGAACTCAGATCTAACATTTCTAACCTCTGGAGTTGCTCAAACTCACAAGAGAGGATCCATGGACCAAAAATGGACTTATTACCAAACCCTAACTCAAAATAGCAAAATGATAAGTAACGTCTGGACTTTTTACCTCCAAAAGTTCCGCAAGATGAAGTAGGTGCAGGATCTAGAAGCTCAACCACATCCAAGACTTTCTCACCACCTTCTAATTTTTGCAAACACGCTATAATGGCCACCAAAATCACTTTTTAAGCTCAAGGATCACACTCACTTGCAAACTAGGGTTTAGGGACGATAAGAGGCAGTGGAGGCTGTTTAGGGTTAGGTCCAAATGACATAAGTGTGCTTAAATAGGGTTCATGCCCTAAAATTAGGGTTTTTGTCTTAAGCTACGTACGCCCTGCATACGCCTTAGTACGCCCCGTGTACGTGGTGCATGTCCGCGCCCAAACCACCCTAGTACGCTAAGCGTATGCATGTGTACGCCCAACATACGTAGGGACCTCCTTTGCCAAATAACTTTCATTCCAAGGGTTAAAGGGTAAATACATGCATTCTGAATGTTACACTTCAGCAGAGGCAGAATATAGAGTCATGGCTACTTTTGTTAGTGAAACTCTATGGATGCGTTGGCTATTGAAAGACTTAGAAGCACCTCCTGTTGGACCCACATCTCTATTTTGTGACAACCAGATTGCAAGACATATCACCAACAACCCCGTCTTCCATGAAAGAACAAATCATGTTGAAATGGATTGTTACTTTGTTCATGAACATGTTGAGTCACAGGAAATCAAACCCATGCATGTTGTTGACTTATTCACAAAGGCTTTAGGATCACAACATCTTCAGTTCTTGCTTGGCAAGTTGGCCATTCGAGACTTACATGCTCCAACTTAAGGGGGGGGGGGGGGTAAAGAAACCTTATCTGATCGTTCTTGATCACTTACTTCATCTTTATCTTATTCCTTTGTTTTATTCTTTATGTTATTTTAGTTGTTATCTAGATTTAGTTAGAGCCCAAGGAATTATCTTGTATATATTACCTTCGTTGAATGAATGGAAGAACAAGTGTCGGAACAATTAAATTCATTAACACGAAACAAAATTGGGATGAAACTGGAATTCGAATTCTTGTTCGTGTCATGTTCGTGTCAAGTGTAAAAAACACGATGTCGTTTCGTGTTCAAAATTCGACACGAAATTGACACAGTTTAACATTTGTTTGTTGTATTTTCCGTGTTTGTCGTGTTATGTATGATTAAGTATTAAGTAAATAAAATAATTGTTATTTTAAGTTATTTTTGTTGTGTCATATATTGTTTTTTGTTTTTTAATTGGTTCGTTTTTGTGCTTGTTAAAAAAAACATAACATTGTGTCGTGTCGTATTCGTGTAAAATAAAACATCGTCGTGTTGTGTCGCGTCAGACAAAAACACAACACGATTTTTCGACTTGCACCCCTAATTGTATATGAGAAACTCGAATGAGTTACTTATATAATAAGAAATATAAAGAAGCAAACTATATATAACAACAAAAAACAACAATACAAAATTCTCTATACTACATTATGTATAGAGATGGAGAATTTTTGTCTCTATACTACATGTGTATAGATATTGGAAGTCTTAAATGAATCCTATTTATATGTATGGGTGTGTGTGGTTTACTCACAACATTCATAATATAATACAAAGTTACAAACTAAAGTGGGTTTTTTTTAAGCAACACCGCAATATAATACAAAGCTACAAACTGTAATCAATCGATGAAATGATGCATTAAAATAAATACATTGCTTATACAATAACAAATTGTGTATTAATACTTTCTTTAGGTAATAAAATAGCAACAAGTATAGTTTTACCAATGTTCTAAATAACGTAAGGCGTGACTTGGCGGCAATGTCAAGCCTCAAGCTTTTCCGAGCCTTGGCGAGCCACGTTGTTTGTAAGGCGTGACTTAAGGCGACAATTTTGTATATAATTCATATTTTTATATGTATTTTCTACTATTATTCATTTTTATACACATATATGAGTCAAAGCGTTTATTTGGTAAAGCTTGGCGACACATACAAGCCTTGGAGCCATGACACGTCATGGCGGAGCCAATGACGAGCTTTTTAGAACCATGAGTTTTACCCAACCAAAATAGTTACATAACTTTATTCTACCGGAACCATAACTTCATTGGTCCTAAAATAAGGCAAAGTCCACGGCGGATTGTACCTTCCCAATACATGCTCCCCTGCAATCTTAAACCCATCTCTCTCCAAGTCCTTCTTCAACTTCTCCAACTTTTCCGTTACAACTCCCTCCGTCGCCACCCCATTAAACCCTACCACAGCATATTTCTTCTCTCCCTCCTCCGTTATCACCACCCTCTCATCTACGGGCTTCGGCGCCTCCTCCGCCTTTTTGTACTTCTCCGGCAGCGTGAACTGCATCGTCACCCTTCCTACATTTCCCTTTGTCATCACCGGCGAAGTCATCCCTATCTTTTCCGCCTTCGTTATTACTGATGAAGTCATCGCGATCTTTTCCGGCTTCGTGTTCTGTGGGTTGCCAAATACGCCGATGTACTTGGCTAGAATCGAAAACCCAGCGTCTTTGTCCCCTTTGAATTGAGTTGGGTCGTAGGTGATCTCTGCCACCACCGATGGTGGGTATTGACGTATCTCGTAGTCGGCTGTCGATTTTACGACTTCGAATTTCGGTGTTTCCACCCTGAGTTTACCAAAAACCATACCCATATTTGCCAAGATATTTGTTGGTGTTTGCAAAGGGAGATATGGAAGCAATCAAGCAATCGTTTGTAGGTGTTTTATTTGGGGGTTTAGGAGGTAAAAACCTATGAACAACTGAACAAGCGGTGAGGATTGAGTAGGTGCTATGTGGACTTCGTTGCACCACGCTTAGTAGGGTATGTCCGTATGTGGAGTCCATTGAATAGAGTTAGGATCAGATGGGTTTCGGAACCCGAGTGGAAATTCAAGAAAAGACGAGGTTGGTTGTGACAAAATTGTATTTATTCTAAGAAAATGTTCTTAGAAAACAGAATGAAGGGTTCATTTTCAAATTTCATTAAAAAACATATTTGGTTGGACGGTGGAGTTTTTATTTTTTATTTTAGAAATTTAAAAAACTTAAAAATCATTTTTTCAATTTATATATAATTTGAAAAACTAAAAATTTTCATATTCTTAAAAAACTTTTAAAAATCAAACGAACCAAATGCGTTTTCAAAATTTCCGTTTTTCTTGGAAAATTTTCCTAGAAAGTTTAACGTTGCGTTTAGTTATGGAAAAACAATTTTCATTTTCCGTTTTTTGTTTTCCCTTTTCGATTTTCGTTTTCCGTTTTCATTTTTCATTGAAAAATTTAGAAAACGCGTTTAGTTAAACTTATTCATTTTTCATTTTCAGTTTTAGAAAATTAGAAAACGTGTTTAGATGTGTATTTTTCTATCGGTTTTTACTTTTAGAAAACGGTAGCGGTGGTAGGGTGTGGGTGGGGGCAGTGACGGTAGCGGGTCGACGGCGGTGGTGGTGATGACATGCGATGGTCGTGGCGGCGGCAATTGTTTCAGTGGTGGTGATGGCGGCGGCAGCAGTGGTGGTGGTGCTAGTGACGAGTTAGTGGTGGTGGTGGTGGTGATGATGATGGTAGGTCGGTGATTGTGGTGGTGGTGTTGGATGGGTGGGGGTGTTTGTGTGTGTATGTGTGTGTTTGTGGGGGTAGGTGTGGGTTTGTATGTGTGTGGGTGTGTGTGTCTGTGAGGGTGGGGGTGGGGGTAGGTGTGGGTTTGTGTGTGTGGGGGTGTGTGTTTGTGGGGGTGTGGGTGGGTATGTGTGTGAGTGTGTTTGTGTGTGTGTGGGTGTGTTGGTGGGTATGTATGTGTGTGTGTGTTTGTGGGTGGGTATGTATGTGTGTGTGTGTGTGTTTGTTTGTGGGTGGGTATGTGTTTGTGGGTTGGTGTGTGTGTGTGTTTGTTTGTGTGTGTGTGTGTGTGTATGCGGGTGGGTGTGTGTGGGGGTGGGTATGTATGTGTGTACGTGTGTGGGTGCGGGGTGTTAAGGTGGGGGTAGGTAGAGGTGGATGGGGTGGGAGTGGGTGTGTGTTTATATTTTAGAAAAAATTTGGAATTAGAAAAATGTGAAAAACAATGATTATCAGTTTTCTTAAAAATTTCCAACTTCTTTGTAATTTTAGAAAACGGAAAATTTTCATTTTCCGTGAAAAATTTAGAAAAATAGACGAACTAAACGCGTTTTCAAAATTCTCATTTTTCTTGGAAATTTTTTCCGGAAAACGGCCCATTTTTCCGCAACTAAACGCACCCTAAATTTTTTCCTAGAAAACTAGAAATTTTTTCATAACCAAACACACCCTACAAAACCTTATGCATTTCCAATTGGTTTTTTTTTGTTTAGTTTCTTTTGTACCGGATGAGATTGGTTCCGACCTAAAATCGAAAAAACCAAAAACAGATAAAATGAAAATTTAAGAAACTGAGAACCCAACAGAATACCCCTCTACGGTTCTAATCGATTCTGGTGTCGATTTGATTCTTCGGTTGGGAGGGAACACAACTCTACCCTCTTCAAACTACATATATCAAGGGGGTTGAGAGTGATTCTGTCCACCCTAAAATGATCATTTGCCAAGACGATCCTTGTTAACATGTTTTGTTCCATATTTGGTCACTTTAACTTTAGGTGCACTCTACTCTAGTTCTTTGATGTGGGGTTGAGTTTGTGCCCCACTACATTGAATGTGTTTAGAAAAATTAGCTATTAGTTAAAAGTTTGAAGCAAAATAGCTAGAATCTTTTGAAAATTGTAAAATTATATATAATCTAAAATTCAAAAAAACCAAAAAATAAAAAATCTTAATAACTAATTCAAATAACTATTGGATTATGAGATTTTTGTTTAAAATAAAAGCTTTAAGATCATAGTGGCAAACAACATAACATTTTTTTTTTCTAGAATTTTCAAAAAAGCTAAAAACCCTCAAAATCTAGCTGCCAAACATAACATAAAGTAATCATTGTTAATGTATTAACATCAACAAAGCATCCTAACATGCATCATCAGTTATACGCCCAAAGATATTAATTGTTTTCTACACAACGTACTACGAATCCACTTGTAACAATGATACGTTGCAAACTGCCATGCTGATTTGTGTTGGCGTTGCCATCGTGAGTATTCATGAATAGGTTAACATCAATTTTGGCCAAAAAAAAATTCGTATAGCTTTAAATCACCAATTAATTTACACACTTTATTAACAAAACAAGAAAAGTTTGTCCGTAATTGGTCCTTGTAATCTATTAGCAGGCACGATATCCATTTGGGAAGGGTTCAAGAATGGTTTTGGGAGCCTTGGTACCGTCGGGAATACCACCTCAGGAGGTGTGTTCTGAACATTGATAAACATTTTCGGTAAGGTTTCCCCAAACTTCCTCCACACACCCACTCTCTCCGACATCTAGAAAATCACCCCACCCCATAATGGCAAGTTTATAAAATTCTAAATTTAAATATAAATCTATAAATAACATTTCAATTTTCCTTATAATTTTACTAAAAGGTAATAAATCTTCTTTTAAACTTTTACCCTTTGACAATGGATTCAATATAAAGTTTAGAGTTTGTGCCTAACAAATATATGTGTAACACTCACGTTTTATCTTCGTCAATAAGTATCTAGTGTGCATAACACTGGTGTTATGACAACAAATGCTCAAGCAATGTTACTTCTTCTTCAAGGTAATGCAAGTTCAAGCAGACTATAATGTCCCAAAAATCATGGTAATTTTTGTAAGAAGGAATAAAAGACATTTTCATAAAATCAAATACCACCAGAATAACCATTTCATAAGTACAGGACCAAAATCAGAGTATCAAAATATAACATCTCCCAAAATCATGAAGATTAATGAATAATGTGTACAATCATGCCTTCGTTTTGCCCCGATCCTTAGAAGGATCTGAAACATTTAAATCCACAACTATAAGCCAAAGTTTAGTGAGTTCCCCAAAGTATCATATACAAAACAGCACAACCAAATATATAAAACAACTATGGGTTATCACTAACCCCGAGCTATCAACAGCTCATATATATTCATTTGGGTTATCAACATCATGAGCTATTAACAGCTTACATACACCCATTTGGGTTATCAACAACCCCAATCTATCAGCAGCTCACATACATCATATGATATAAGTAACACAATGAGAAAACCCTCCTCACAGACAAAGCAGAAACCTCTACAACTCACAACATGTGAAGGCAGGAACAACAACCACCTAAAGAGGTCTTCAAAGGTCAACCCTCAGCCTATGACCTAAAACCCTAAAGTTTGACCTAAAGTCAAACCTAGTCAAAAGTCAATGATTAAATTCAACTCTACATCCATCGCGATATGGCCAACCCCTGGCCATGTCGTGTTGATGCGAAACAGATGATTCACGAGTCGATTTGATCACCATACCATTGCCAGCCCCTGGCCACACCATGGTCCATATGGAAAGTTAAATCCTTCATTAAGTCCTTTAATCCACTAAGACCAAAGCTCAGGATCTATAGAAGGCTTAATCATGCTAAGATGAGTCGTAAAAATCATAACTTTATGACCCTACACACTCCATGCATGTTCTAATCCATTTTAGGTAAAAAGGGAAAAATATGACCTTGATTCCTTGCATGGCCTCAAATCACACTTTGGCTTTAGATATAAAAGATGAAACACTCCAGGGACACATAGGATTGATAAAGTTGCAATCCTTATCAGAAGTTCTTCTATCCAATTCCATCAAAACCATAAAAAGGGACCAAAATGCCTAAAATATGTTATATCTATTGTTACAGGCAGGATCCCATAATCATATTCAGGATCCTTAATATTCTTGAAGCCTCAAGATCCTTAAAAATATCATAGGATCCTGATTATTATCACTAATATTTCCTAACGCTTATAAAGGTTATATTCTTCTTTCTTTTTCTCATGTGTGCATAATTAGTCATCACTAGAATCATTCTCAATGGAGAATCACTTCAATCAAGGTTAAGACCCGGGAATACCAAGTCAAACAACGTGCAAATATTTGTTCAAGGAGGATCCCAGAAATATCGGACTTCTTGCTGATTAGCTTAGACTATAAATAACACTTGTAAATTGCACACTACACACAATTAGCTCTACCATTACACTTGTACTCGTATTATCTTCATCATCTTTGTAACCTCAGATTAAAATCAATAAAAAGCAACAAGGCAGGTGATCATTATCACCTCCCAAGGTTTTATGTCGGAGATCCTATAAGGATCAAGAGATTTCCTTGTAACTCACTTGTCTCACTTTGATTATTATTCTACACTTACATTATCCTAACACCACAGCCTCTCATACAATTTGGTTGAATTATACTTGATCAATTTTCGACCAAAACAATTTGGCGCCCACCGTGGGGCCGTGGTGTTCAAAATCGTTCGAAAATCATTTCTACCCAATCAACCTTATCCTCTTCCTTCATTCCACCTATTTCCTTAAAAAACCTTCCACTACCTCCAGGCGGAGCTCCTAAGAAGGCTTCTGAGGCACCGAAGAAAAACACCTCTCCGATTACTACCCAAGGGTTTCAGGATCCTCATGTACTAATTTCCAATAACGAGCTCTTTGCTATGATGAAGAGATTGGGACGACAAGTCACTTAGCAGCAGGAGGACAACAGGACGG